TACTCATCATTCAAATATTTAGTGCTAAACATTTTAATGCATTCTTCTTCTAGCACTTGGGCAAAATTTTCCGTTCCATCATTTTCATGAAAGACATTAAAAAGATGAAGCATATGAGGCCACCTCAATTCCATTTTTTTGTAGTTTTCTTTTATAAACTAACTATGATAAAACAAGAAACTAAAAGATTCAATTGCAAGGTCTAAAGATATACCATCAAGCACTAACCTCCCTGGCAATGGCGCCAGAAAAGTGCTTGATGTCTACTACGCAACCTTCTTCTTGTAGTCATTGTTGGGCCTCCATGTGCAGAGGTTTGGAGGACAGTAGAAAATTCCCCTCAAGTGGATGACCTAAGGTTTATCAATCCGTGGGAGGCGTAGGATGAAGATGGTCTCTCTCAAACAACCCTGCAACCAAAACAAAGAGTCTCTTGTGTCCCCAACACACCCAATACAATGGTAAATTGTATAGGTGCACTAGTTCGGCGAAGAGATGGTGATACAAGTGCAATATAGATGAGATGTAGGTTTTTGTAATCTGAAAATATAAAAACAGCAAGGTAGCAAGTAACAAAAGTGAGCAAAAACGGTATTGCAATGCTTCGAAACAAGGCCTAGGGTTCATACTTTCACTAGTGCAAGTTCTCTCAACCCTAATAACATAATTAGATCATATAACAATCCCTGAACATGCAACAAAGAGTCACTAATAACGGAGAACAAACGAAGAGATTATTGTAGGGTACGAAACCACCTCAAAGTTATTCTTTCCAATCAATCCATTGGGATATTCCTATAAGTGTCACAAGCAACCCTAGAGTTTGTAGTAAAATAACACCTTAAGACAAACATCAACCAAAACCCTAATGTCACCTAGATACTCCAATGTCACCTCAAGTATCCATGGATATGATTATACGATATGCATCACACAATCTCAGATTCATCTATTCAAACCAACCACAAAGAACTTCAAAGAGTGCCCCAAAGTTTTTACCGGAGAGTCAAGACGAAAACGTGTGCCAACCCCTATGCATAAGTTCACAAGGTCACTGAACCTGCAAGTTGATCAACAAAACACACATCACGTGGATCACGTGAATATCCCATTGTCACCATAGATAAACACATGCAAGACATACATCAAGTGTTCTCAAAGCCTTAAAGACTCAATCCGATAAGATAACTTCAAAGGGAAAACTCAATCCATTACAAGAAGGTAGAGGGGGATAAACATCATAAGATCCAACTATAATAGCAAATCTCGCGGTACATCAAGATCGTGCCCAATCAAGAACACAAGAGAGAGAGAGAGAGAGAGAGAGAGAGAGAGATCAAACACATAGCTACTGGTACATACCCCCAGCCCCGAGGGTGAACTACTCCCTCCTCGTCATGGAGAGCGTCGGGATGATGAAGATGGCCACCAGTGATGATTCCCCCCTCCGGCAGGGTGCCGGAACAGTGTCCCGATTGGTTTTTGCTGGCTACAGAGGCTTGCGGCGGCGGAACTCCCGATGTAGGTTTCTTTTCGGGGGTTTTTGTATTTATAGGAATTTTTGGCGTCAGTTTCACGTCATGGGGGTCTCCGAGTCATCCACGAGGTAGGGGGCACGCCCAGGGGGTAGGACGCGCCCTCCACCCTTGTGGATAGCTCGGGACTCTTTTGGCCCAACTCTTTTGCTTCGGGGGCTTCTTCTGGTCCATAAAAAATCTCGGTATTGGCTTGTCAATTGGACTCCATTTCGTATTCTTTTTCTGTAAAACTCAAAAACAAGGAAAAATAGAAACTGGCACTGGGCTCTAGGTTAATAGGTTAGTCCCAAAAATCATATAAAAATAGCATATAAATGCATATAAAACATCCAAGATGGATAATATAATAGCATGGAACAATAAAAAATTATAGTTACGTTGGAGACGTATTAGCGGTTGCGAAGAAGATAGCTCGTCAATTGCAGTACGAGGTGCGCTGGGTTGCCGTATCGCACTACTATCACTCCTACCTTCATCAAAAGATGAGCAAAAGTGAAGCGCAGAAGCAACGACTTACCTTGAACAGGGAGCACTATATGAAGGTAAGTATTAGAGACTTTTCATTCCAACGTATAAGCAGTCAATTTCATTGTTTCGTGCTGACATGTCATGCTTCAATTATTTAGGTTATTCCTCCTTGGTGCTTTGGAAAGGATGAGGGATGGGCGAGTTTGGTGGATAGGTGGCTCGACAACGATGCAGAGTTTGCTGCCAAGAGCAGCAAGGACCGGGCTAACCGTGGAAAAGACGGAAACACACGGCCAAGGAAACAGGAACCACTGGGGCTTCAAGGCCATGAAGGTATATCTATATGCATGATGCATTTTTTTTCTTCTTTTTACCATCATGTTCTTATTTATGGCAAACTTCTGTTTGATGCTGCAGGGGGACAAGTTGAAGAGGCCGCTCTCAGACATGGAGTCATGGAAGATGGCACGTGAGCGGAGTGATTGCAAGGAAGGAGAGAGCGAGTACTATGGAAAAACCGAGGAGCACCTGAAGTCTTACAAGGAGCAGTTTGAGAGGTTGCATCCGCCTGGTCCGGATGCTCCTGACATCGTCCAGTCTCAGATCGACGACACAACGGTGGTGGCCAGCTACTCAAAGTCCCATGGCCGCTACCCGTGTTCGATGGCTTGATCACTCCTTCTGTCTCGTACACACAACTTTGAGCTACCAACCCGAGCTCGTTAGAGAGTACGGGGTGTTTGCAGCATAGCTTAGCCCGCCAGCATGTTGTAAGTACTTCCCCCTTATCTTCTTTCTTTCTTACTTTCTCAGTTTATTTTCAGCATTGCCCACTTAGAAACAACCTAAATTTTGTAGGCATATAAGGCCTTTGTCGAGCTTAGGAATCTCGAGGTGCGGGAGTACTTACAACGAGTGAAGGCAAATGGGGATTACAACCGTCAGATGATGGCGGTTAGTTTTTCCCTCTTAGAACCAAGCTAAAATTTGCACTTTCATTTCTTTTGACCTTCTAGTTTGCTTGGTTAACTAACATCCAAGCTATGTTGGCGTCTTCGACTAACCGCACGGATCCACCACAAATGGGACCCACACCACCACCTGCTAGAGAACCCCCACACGTGCCCACGTTCGATGAATGGGTAGCACAAGGCAGTCAGACTCTGGTTAGTACATTTGCCTAACTATTAACAAACTAGTTCTCGTTCATTCAGCGCTATCATATCATATTTACCCTTACAGTCTCTTTTCCAACATGTAGGGGACCGGTGATTCGACTCCTGCTTAAGAGAGCCCATCCACTCCAATCTGGCAAGGTGGTGTTGGTCTTGGCGGTGCTCACGGCGATGGTCCTAGTCTTGGCTGATGATGTGTTCCATATTGTGCAATACTTTCCATGTTTCGTACTTCTTAGGGTTCTTTAGATGACGACGATGATGTTCCATGTCTTGCAATACTTATGTTCATGAAGTTTTGACGTTGATGATCTTTAGATGATGATGATGATCTTGATGATCTTTAGTATCTTTAGATGATGATCTGTCTTATTTCTGTCTATATATGGTCTCTGACATATTTTGTGAATTTAGATGCTGTCAAATTGAATGGGAAATAGGAAAACAGAGCAAATAAAAAAACATATATATGCCGACAGCCTGGCCGTCGGCATAGACATGTCCAAGAGGAACCAGGGAGCGACACATGGCATGGGTATGCCGATGGCTAGGCCGTTGGCATAGATTTCCATCTAAGCCGACGGCCAGGCCATCGGCATACCCTGCTGCCAGGAGCGCTCAGCGACGGCCACGTGGCATATATAAGCCGACGGCCTAGCCGTCGGCATAGATTTCCACCTATGCCGACGTCTAGGCCGTCGGTTTATATGTGCCACGTGGCCGTCGCTGGTTGGTCAATGGGGATGACCGCGTCGTCTGGTGGTTTTCTCTGTCGACGGTGTAACTATGCCAACGGCTGTACGAAAGCCGTCGGCATAGATGCCTATGCCGACGGTCTGACAAGACGACGCTGACGATATCTACGCCGACGGGTGTATTGCCGACGGCCCCCGGCCGTCAGCATAGAGGGTTAGTCCGGTAGCATGTCCAACAAAAGGAACAACAGACATACGTACCAAAACACTACCAAGGGCCTACTACTACTACTATGCTGTTACAGCTCCTAGATACAAGAATCTAACAACAACACTCATTTTGTTCGCGGTGGCTAAAGTATAAACGATCTGCTGATGACACGTGCTCTTTTTTCCTCGTTTGCCAGGACCTCACAAATCAACTCAATGTGCTGGATTATGCAAGGATCACAAGCAAAGCCAGACCTAACTTTGGGTAAGATATCAAGTTTGCAGTTATGTCTGCTCCACCACCTTCAAATCAAGTCTGAGATGCAGCACACCACTGATGAAGAAAGGGTTGTCATCAGCCAAGAACATCTCCCATGGAATCGAAAAGGGATCCCTGCATGCAACTATAGCACTATCAGTAAAGGTGTGACTAGCATTGTACTTGCTCACAAAGTGCCCAGATGGTCTTGTCCTTGCCGCAAACTCATAATTTACTGACACACCCGTTGAACCCTTCTGCTTCAAATTGATATATAAGAAGATGCCAAATCTGTGTGAACCAATCTGCTGGACCATGTTACATCCTGCCCCAAGAATGAAACCCTGACCTGCAACATGGAGTGGGTGCGAGAATATCTGCTCTGATGGGAAGAGTTGGGAGCATTCCTCACGCTTCAAATCCATGTAAGCTATAACCTGTGGGCAGGGTTGATCAAACGCAACCACTTTCAGATGCCTGCACTTGTAAGCTCGGTCTACAAATTGCTGACTGGAGGTTGCACATGCTGCAAGCTCATCTGGCCTGTGTGCTGGATAAGCTTTGCACAGAAGTACCTCAGTGACACACTTAGTTATTTGCTCATGGTCTATGTCATTGTCAGTGCATGTTAAGATCCCCCGAAGTGTTCCATAGGTCATTTGTGGCTGAAGCGCAACAGCGGAATTAAATGAGAACTCAAGATCTTACGTCTTTCTTCCAGTTCTGGGTACCGCGCACGGGCCCACTTGAGCAACAGGCGGTATAAGCAGTCTTCATTTACTACATGTAGGTCAGTACTTGAAAATATGGCTTCAATCCCAGCAAGTGACATGTTCATCAATTCATCTTGGAACCTGACATGATGCAAAACCAAGCCTTTAGTACACTTCAAACATGATAACTGTGACAGCCATGTCTACACTTCACTTCTCTATGAAAAGGAAAGAAAAGTTGGCTCCATCCAAAGGGGATCACTCACTTATGCACATCACTGTATTTTTTAGCAAGGAAATCCTTGGCTGCAACTATCAAATGGTGAACAGTAGCTGGAATTAAAATGGAGCATGGATGGTCTAGGTAGAGCAGCGCAGATTCTGTTGTCATGGGCAAGCTTGTGAGCAACTGACTGCAATCCCTCATGCAAGAAGGAACCTCGAATTTGTCGGCAACCATCAAGATGTCTAGCAGAATAGCAGGCTCAGCTGTTCTTAACTTTCCACAGTACATAAATCTCAAAAGCTCCATAAGGGCATTTTCCTCTGTTCCAAGTAGAATGCAAACAAAAATTATGTAAATATGATTATTGACTTTTGGTAATAAGGAAAACTATAGGTAGGGTATAGACAAAATATCCATTGGGTAAATAAAATAAAAAAAGTGAAATAAGAATAACCATTATCAAAAGTAATCAATGTTTTAGTTTCAAAAATACAGAAAATAATACAAATCACAGTAATAATTAGAAACAATTATAAGAGGAAGAATGTCACATTTGAGTAATCACACATTACCTGAATCAGCGATCTCAAGTGTTGCATGTGTCTGCTCAGATTCTTTCATGCCATTTGAGAAAAGCTAAGAATTATGAAGCTTATTAGAAACCATGAACTGATTATAGAATAAATGTATTTAAAAAGGTTTTAAGAATTACCTTGTGAAAGAAGCTACTACTTGCAGAAAGAATCACTGAACTTACATTCATTGTCCTTACTCGTAAAACTTGTGTACCTAGCATGGTTGACGAACAGAAAATACCAAGATAAAAGAAATAAAGGTTAAACATGGAAAGTAGAAGATACAGGGAGAGAATCACATAAGCAAGTTCTTTGGTGTTCAGATTCTTGGAACACAGTTCTATCATGGGTGCAGATTCATTATAAATGACTCATCAGCAATATGGCAAAAAATATAAAATAAAATCACAAAAACTGAATGCACCGACAGCTGCATCCAACAATAGAGGCATGCTCGTAGCTCACTCAGCAGTCATAAATGATCTCATGTTCAAGTAAAAAACACCCCACCAAATTTTTATAGTGTATCCAATTAGTTAGTGCATTCTATGTGATTTAATAGCAGAAACCAGGTCAACCAGTCAACTATCTAAAAATGGAAGCTATCAGGTATTTGTACTACTTAAAAAGTAAGCACTCATCAAGCAAGGGCCACCAAGGTTTTGATTTTCGGTTTGTGAAATTTCTCGCCCCAAGCCGAGATAGTCGAATTTCGGCCATTTTCAAAAATTCTGGCCAACATTTGACCAAGATTTGGCTGAAATTTGACTAAAATTTGACAAAAATCTTTTTTTCCAGCCCGAGATGGCCGAAATTCAAAACAGTGGGGCCAACGATATAATCTAAAACATTTCAACACATAGAAAGAACAGAGATGAGCAAGAAAAAGGCAGACCAATGTTAACCTTAATGATTAAATGTTTAACATGGAACATGGTTGTGGAGACTGTAGAATTCTAAAGATTTAGGAGCCCCTCACTCCTCCCCAAATATATGCAAGCTAGGGCATATTTGCACATATTATCAACACTTAAAAAAGGACAAAGTCATGAAACAGTCCATTCATCTTTCCAAATACACACCCATTATGTCAGTAACAAATTTTATACTCCCTCCGGTTCATATTAATTGTCGCTGATTTAGTACAACTTACAAATTTGGGCGGAGGGAGAAATAGAAGTTTCTTCCTTCTTTTTTCTGCATTTGGAAACATAACAATTGACAGATTTGACGTATGGACAGCGTATAATCTGCTAACTACTTTTCCTCGATAAATTGGAGCTCGATCCTGTGAACCAAGTTTTCAGTGTCAGAGAACTATTGCATTTACACCACATCGATCAGCTCAGGCACAAAACTTGCAGATCCGCCTCTTTTTACAAATCGATTGCAACTTTTTACCAGAGAAACGTACGATTACAAACAGGGACGCATTGCACTGTACGCACCTTTGTCTGCGCGGTGGCTTGCCGGTTCGGTGAGGGATCCTCCCGCGACTTCACCGTTGGCGACGATCGCTATCTGCAGCACCTTGTCGGAGAAGCGCTCTGAATCGAACGCGAACCCGAAGTTTGGGGCCCAGCTCCCGCGTGAGAGCTCAATGTCCATCCCAGCCTCCGCCTCCGCCTCCGGTGCCGCCGCCGGCATCGTCGACCCTTGGGCGCCAGCCATCTGCCCCGCCGCGTCTGGGAGAGGGAGGACGCGGCGGCCGTAAACCCTAGCTTCGCGGTCGTAGTGGGCTAGTGGCTTCTTTCGGGACTCCGTGGTGGGGTTACTTTGAGCTTTTGGAAACCCCGCGAACTAATTTTTTTCCCCTTGGAGGAGTCCAACATTTGCCAAGAGGACCCTGTGAAGCGGCCGAAATTGCAAACACGTCAACGTAGTACTACAGAATTTCTTAAACTCTCAATATAATGTTTTTTATTATGCATGGTTTCAAGAAAAATGGTCCATGTAGTCCCGGATCATTTTTCGCTTTTTGCTCATCTTATCAACTCTATCCAGCAAGGACCGTCAAGACATGCTAGGTAGAAGGGAGGAGTACGAGGTGAGACACATTTGGTACTTGAGTAGACATGTCTAGCCATGATGTGCGATGAAACTGGATGTCGTTGCTATGCCCGACACCTAGGTGATCGCGATGGCATGGCCTACCACGATGGCGAGTCTGCCTCCCGAGATGGCCTTTTGTCATTGCTTCGTTTCTTCATTCGCGGTTGAGGGCTCCGATGACTTCAAGCCATGCTTCTTTTTCTATAGCTAGTAGTCGCTTCGCAGTTTCTCTCTACTGCCTACATTTCACTTCATAAGTTTATTTCCCTTAAAACTCCGTGTTAAGATCAAACTTAGATTTACATCCTACGACATGATAGAATATCTCGTATCAATTAATTTTACCAAGAGAAGCGCAAAAAATGTAACGCTTTAGTGGTGCTACCATGTGTTGGTTGTGCAGTAGCAAGACAAGGCTTCGTAGCACTAGAATTTGACTTCTCCAGACGAATGTTTTTGAGATAGCAAATTAGCAACGGATGAGGCTAGAAACAATACACTTTTTCAAAATAAAGTGTATATTACGCCTGGGCTTACACATCAGAGACCAGGGCACCAAGTTTCAACAAGCTAGGGTAAAGTGCCAGATCAAACGCACAACATTGCAGATCGATAGTAGCATTTAGCAGAGACATCAGCAAAATAAGTTCCATGAGAAGGCATATCTTCATGGAATCCACTAATAGTTACTCCCTCCAATCCAAAAAGGTGTTGTGGCTTTAGTTCTGAACTAAAGCGACAACACTTTTTTGGATCGGAGGGAGTAGTTTTTAGCATAAATATCCAAATACGCCCTCCGTTCCCAAATATAAGTCTTTCTAGAGATTTCAACAAGTGACTACATACGGAGCAAAATGAGTGAATCTACATTCTAAAATATGTCTACATACATCCGTAGGTTGTAGTCCATTTAAAATGTCTAAAAAGATTTATATTTAGGAACGAAGGGAGTATATTGCAAGCCAAGCGCTGCAAGAGAACGACCCAGCTACAAAACCATAGCCGCACCATGCATCCAAGAAAAGGAACGGCAAACATACGTACAAATCCTACTACAACTGCAGGGACAAGGGACCAAAGCATAGCAGAAAACGGCATATAGTAGCAATATCTTGACATCGACAAAAACGTGGTCATGAAGAAGCAGATAACTCATTTCAGATTTTAAAAAAAACTCATTCAAGATCAATCCATGATCTTCTCAGCATCAAGCCTACAACTTTTAGTGTAAGAGCCCAAGGAATAAGATATCAAGTTCATAACTCCGACTGCTCCACCACCGTCCAATCAACTCTCAGATGCAACACGCCGTCGATGAAGAGGTTGTCGTCAGCAATAAAGTTCGACCATGCAGTACCAAAGACATTATTGCATCCATGCTTGGATCCAGTAGTGAAGGAACCCTGACCCTCAAACCTGCTCACAAATTTGCCCGACGCCTTTGTCCTTGCAGCAAACTCATACTGTAATGTCACACGCTTTGAACTCTTGCTGACGTACAAGAATAAGCCAAAGCTATACAGCCCACTCACCTTGTTCCCGACACATTATGCTAAGAGAAACAAGTTAAGGCCTGCATGATGGAGCGAATGCGACAAAACCTCTGTATAACGGTTCTGTTTGGAATGAAAAAATCGGGAGCAGTCCTCACGCTTTAGATCTCAGTAAGCTATAACCTGTGGGCAGGGTCCGTCAAATGCAACTAACTTCACAGGTTTGAACAAGTAATCTCGCTCTTCAAGTTGCCATGTTGTCGCGTCTACTGCACGGTCACCATACAAGTGTGATGGGTAAGCTTTGTGCAGAAGTACCTCACTGATACACTTATTTACTTGATCATGGTCTATATCATCATCAGTGCACAGTAGGACCTTCTGCAGTCCATTACGGCTCATATGACTGAAGCGCACCAGCGGAAGTAAACTAGAACTCAGGATCTTGCGCCTTTCCTCCAGATCTGGGTATCGCGCACGGGCCCAGCTGAGCATGAAATCATATATGTCATCTTCAGTTCGTACATGTAAGCCAGTACTTGAGAAGATGGCTTCGATCCCAGCAAGAGGGAAATTCTTAAGTTCGCCCTTGAACCTGAAAAAGAGACATGCAATACCTTGAGTACACTCCATACATGATTTGGTGACAACAATGCCCAAAGATTTTTCTCAAGAAATAAAAAAAAAATATGGCTCCTTTCAATTGGGATCACTCACTCAAGCACATCCTCATATTTGAAGGCTAGGAATTCCTTGGCTGCAACTACCAAACGTTCAACTTCAACTGGCACTGAAATGGAGCATGAATGCTTTAAGTAGAGCAGCGCAGATTCTGTGGTCATGGGCAACCTTGTGAGCAGCTGACTGCAGTAACTCACGCAAGAAAGAACCTCATATTTATCGGCAGCCATCAAGATGTTGAGCAGAAGAGTGGGCTCAGTTGTTGTCAACTTCCCACTATACATAAAGCTTAAAATCTCCATAAGGGCATTTTCCTCTGTTCCAAGTAGAATAAAAACAAAACAACAAAACGATTAAGAAAATAATTAAGAATTAAGAACTTGAAAAAAAGGGAAGGTTTTTTGTGCCTAAGTTATTGAAGTATTATTATTGACATTTAGTATTGAGGAAATATACCTATGGCAAAAAGTAGAAAAAATATTCATTTGGTAGGTAAAATTGAAGA